CAACGGGCTGCTTGTATGCAAATATATCTGCTCAAAATGAGTTTTTTGGTTAATCAGAATTAATTTTAACAAAGTGTATAGTTAGTTGATAGTGAGATTGTAATTTTATATTGAAATAATTTTTTGAAATAAAATAATTAAAGTTGATTTGATGTAAAAGTAGAAGATAAATGATATGAAGTGATAGTTAGTTGAAATTATATGAGTAGATTAAAGTTGATGTGATCTGTTAGAATGGTCGGTTGATTTTACTTAATTATATCGATAATATTGAAAATAGTGGAGTTGAGTTAAAGTTGAATTAGATTTTAAGTATGAATTGTGTAGGAATTGAGATATTTCATATACGTATCATGTACAGTTCTCAATACTCTGGATTATTTTGGGAAAAAAAATGTTTCGCTGAATAAAGTGAGTGGGAGAGTGGAAAAGATTGTGTGTAAGATTGAATTAATTTTGAATTTGTAAATTTATATGAGATTTAAAGTTGATGTAATATATTTTATTAAAATTATTATTATAAATGATTAGTAGTTAAAAATATCTTAGAAGATAAATAGTGAATTTTATTAAAAAATTATGTAGTAATGACTGTTTATATTTTCTAATTGTGATGACAAGATTGATAAAAGAAAAAAATGTATCCAACCAACAAACAATTATATTTGGAGTACTAAATTTTTCTCATAAAAAATAATGGTATATGTTTACCATTCAAGTTCATTAATTTTTGAAAAGAGTAATGCTACACAACTTGGGTGACAACTTGGGTTACAACCCAAGTGTAATGCATTATCAAGAAATTTAAAAATAATGCATTTTGTTGGTATGACTCATATATTGACAAAGGAAGAGGGCAGGCTGATGCCTGCGAGCGTAACGGAGCGAACGTAGCGAGGGAAGCGGAGCGAACGTAGCGAGGGAAGCGGAGTGACCGAGCGAAGTGAGCGGAGTGGAGCATAGATAAGTGTGTAAATGGGGCACAATCAGCTTTTTTGCCAGGCAGAAGTTTAACTGACAACGTGGTTATTGCAAATGAGGGTCTTCATTTTTTAAACCGTCACAGAACATGGAAGCATAAGTATATGGCGGTTAAACTTGACATGATGAAGGCTTATGATAGAATTGAGTGGGCCAGTATTAGACTTACAATGCTCAGGATGGGTTTTGATAATAAATTTGTGAGATGAATCATGGAATGTGTGTCTACTCTGTCTTTCTCTTTTATCATTAATGGCTGCACCACTGGATATGTATCTGCTCAAAGAGGACTTAGACAGGGAGACCAATTGTCTCCCTATCTATTTATCATTGTTTCTGAAGTGCTTTTTGCTTTGATTAACTTTGAAATGGAAAGAGGGGTGCTTAGAGGGGTATTTGTGGCTAGAGGTGCTCCTATGATTACTCATTTATTATTTGCGGACAAAACTCTGGTTTTTTTTTTTTTTTGTAAGGNNNGTAAGGCAGACAAGTATCAAATTCAGGCTCTATTATCTGTCATCTCTCTATATCAAAGATTTACAGGGCAGAAAGTCAATACAGCTAAGTCCTCGATATTCTTCAACAAGAACACTGAGATTGCAATACAGAATGAAGTGTGCCATTTTTTCCCAGGCATAAATTTTTGGAGGTCCATCAGATACATGGGAATGCCTCTTGGCATAGACAGGTCTAAGAAGGAGGTTTTCAGTTTTGTGACAGAGGCTGTGAGGAAAAGGTTAATCAGCTGGAAGAACAAATACCTCTCCTCAACAGGGAGAGAGGTTCTCATCAAATCTGTACTTAATGCTCTTTCATTGTTTGTTATGTCCTGCTACAGGCTACCAACTAGCATATGTAAGGAGGTGGCTAGAATGTTCTCTCAGTTTTGGTGGAGTGGAGGAGATGAGCAGAACAAAGGGGTACATTGGAGAAGATGGGAGTTGCTTACTTTAACCAAAGATCAGGGACGACTGTGTTTTAAAGAAGTTAACCTTTTCAATGATGCAATGTTAGCCAAGCAACTTTGGAGAGTAATCACTCACCCTCAACTTCTCATGAGCAAGATTTTGAAGTGCATGTATTTTCCTAAAACCTCTATATTTGATGCTCAGTTGAATCAAAACTCTTCTTGGTAATGAAGGTCCTGGTGGAAAGTAAGGAGTTCGTTGAGAAAAGGACTGCATGTGAAGATTAAAAATGGAGCATCTGTGAGACTGAAGGATCATAACCGAGTGTCAGGTATTAGAGGAAGAAGTCTATATCTCAAGCAGGACACTAATGGAAAAAATACCAAAGTGCAGGAACTGATTGATGGTGCAAGGAATAGATGGAATGAGCAGAAGGTTAGGGAACTGGTTGAAGAGGAAGACTGTAATGCTTTGTTGCAAATTAAGGCTCTGGACATACATGCTGAGGATAAATGGAGATGGACTATGGGAGTACAAGGCAGATTTTCAGTAGCTCCTTCTTATACCTTCATTCACAAACAGAAATTGCTAGGACTGGATTTGGCTGAAGGGAGTGGCACATCTAGAAGGAATCAAAGAATCAGGCAGAAGACTTGGATTCTCCAAGTTAGAGGTAAGCTGAAACATTTTCTATGGAAATGTGTTAGTGGTTCTTTACTTGTCTGTGCAAATCTGAAAAAAAAAAGAGGAATAGATGTTGATGTTATTTGTTGTTGTTGTTGTGGAGAAGCAATGGAGACATTAGAACATGTGTTATTAAGCTGCAGGAGAGCTAAAATGATTTGGCATCAAGCACATGTTAGCTGGGATGGTTTGAAAGTAGAGAAGGACATACTTGTAGATTGGTGGGGATCTGTGTGCTCTATCACAAACACTGGAATGGATGAAGCCAAAATTAAACTCTCAACTTACATATTATGGTGACTATGGAAGGCTAGAAATCTGTGGGTTTTTTTATAGAGTGTGGAGGCCGGATCATGGCATTGTGGAAGGTGCATGGCTGGAATGGAAAGAATTTAATGCTATCAAGACTTGCAGAAGGAACAAAGTGATCTAGATAGGTCTGCTTGCACTTCAGTGTCTCAGGTTGTTTTGTTTTGTCTGTTAGGGTCATTTGCTTGTATTCTTGGTTGTCATTTGTGTATTTGGATCTGTATTTTCATCTGGAGGGTTCAGAAGTGTTTGTTTCTGCCTCTGGAGTTGATGTATTGTGTTGTTATGTTTAGCCTACCTAATGTGGTAGTGCTCTATTGCTTTAGTCTTCGACTTTTAAGTTGTTCTAATGTATTTGAACCTTAAATTTTTTGGCTTATTGATATGGAGATATTCTATCATTTGGAAAAAAAAAAAATTATAACAAGTCAATCTCAGCTTATTGGTTGAGTTCACAAGTGAGCTTGTTCATAATCTCTAATTCCACCCTATTGTTTTTTACCAATACACGTGTTTTAAAAAGCGCATTTTCGCGCTCTATATAGCGCGAAATAGCATGACATGACACGCTTTTCTTGCGATGTCTTACGTTTTTTTACGTAAATTTCTCACGCTATTGACCATTTTTTCAATTTTATAAGCAGAAATTAAAAAAAAATTTAAACAGACCTCAGGGTTCACTCATGAAACCCTCACTTCATCTCTTCATCATCTCACTGGTTCCACCGCAGCCTCCATGCCTCCGCGACTCCACCACAGCCCGACGAGAGTAGGAACTCCTCCGCCTCCTCACAACCAACCTGCGTCTTACAACATCTCGCATCTCGCCACTCCAATTCCCTGATA